TTACTTGTAAGGAGAAACATCCTCCTGATTCACAGGTTCAGACAAACTAGTTAAAACAACAGAAGAGATAGATTCCAGAACAGGTGATAGGCCAGGCCCTTTCACAGCTAGGATCTTGAATTAGAACAGCCTATTTATCCTACTGAAAATGGTATCTGGGGTGGGGCAGGAAATGTCAAATCATAATACTTCCTCCTTATTTCTCTGTAATCTAGCTCAACCCTGCACTTACATTGAATGGTTTGCTAACAGTTATCACATGAGCATTGTCAGCTGATGGCTGAACAAAGCCCATTCACACTAGAAGCTAGTGACATTTGAGCCCTGGTTTTGCATTGCCAAGGTAACTGGTTCTCTGCTCAGAGGAAGGCTACCTGCCTGTGATCTACACTAACCAAACCAAACCACATTCAGGCACTGTATCAGTTATAAGGTTTCTGAGGCAGTTATAGGACACATGCTTCAAAACCCTGGATAAAGGGTTTTTTTGCCCAGTAAAGCTGGGCAAATTTCTCACCTTGCTCTTTGACTCAGTTTTCCTTTCAATGAGAGAGTGGAGTGGACACACTTCTTAAGGCAACTTGAGCATGTTAGTGTGAATGAGTCATCACTGGATAGGAATTCTGTCAGCAAGTTCTCCCTAGAGCTCCTAACAGGGTTTTGTTCCCTCTACAACTTCCCTGGTTTCCCGAATACAGATTAAGTACTAAAAATGAAGTTCCAGATGATAATCCTCCCGATGACAATGATTAACAATTCCTTGGAGTCACTTCTAGGAAAGAAATGCTTTCTAGGAAAGCATTTGCTTTCTAGGAAAGAAAAAACGTTACTTGCATTTTATCCTATTTGTCTTCATAACACCCAGAGAAGTCAAGGATGAGAGGTTCCTCCCAAAGCAGAGTTTACTGAAGTTCAGAGATAAGAGGTGCAAGGTGACCAGGGACATACAGGTAAGAAATGTAAATTCTGGTTATAGAAACTGTACATCCAGGGAAACTCCAGAGGAACTGTTTTTTGTTTGTTTGTTTGTTTGTTTTTGTTTTTGTTTTTGTTTTCCCTGGAGGAGACAGGACACTGGTGGGGCATCCTTTAAGGTCAAGAGGCATTAGGTTGGCCTTCAGGAAAATCAGCCTTCCTGTACTTTCCTGGGTTAGCTTGGAGATAGATGGAGTAGCAGCTCAGTGATCTATCACTATATTTTCTCATCTACTTTTGGAGATTATCCAGCCTCAGTTTATATAGTCAGCTTTTTTTTATTTTTTTAAAGATTTTTATTTTTTTAGGAATGCCTGGGTGGGTCACTTGGTTAAGCATCTGCCTTCAGCTCAGGTCATGATCCCAGAGTGCTGGGATCGAGTCCCGAATCGGGGGGTCCTTGCTCAGCAGGGAGCCTGCTTCTCCCTTTCCCTCTCCTGTTCCCCCTGCTTGTGCTCTCTCGCTCTCTGTCAAATAAATAAATAAAATCTTTAAAAAGAAAATATTTTTATTTTTTTAAAGTAATCTCCACACTGAACATGGGGCTTGAACTCACACCCCCGAGATCAAGAGTTGCATACTCCCCCGACTGAGCCAGCCAGGCATGCCCCTATAGTCAGCTTTTCTTATCCTCTAACTCAAGTACCTGGATTTTTTTTAGACTTGAAATAATGTTAAACAATTATTTGACATTTTTTTACTGTTCTTACCAGCTCCAACCTGATTAATTCTCTTCATCTTTGCATCATTGTCACAAGACAGGTAGGGCTAATGTTAATAGGCCCATTTTACCAATGAGCAAATGGAGTCTCAGGAAAGTTGTGACAAGACCACAAATTTGAAGATGTGGGAATAGATGTGAATCTTCTGTATCTGAGTCCATGTCTCTCTCTAAAACATTGTCTTTCACCCCTCCATAGAATTCCTTCAAATATTTTATGAGTGCTTTCTGTATACCAACAATGTGCTGGGCATTCAGTATTGGACAAGAGAGATGTGGTCTTTGAATGAGAAGCTTACAGAAGAGTTGAACACACAAACAAGAAGATGGGCAATTAATTAAATTGCACTAGGTGAAAGCACACTGAGAGAGGCAGGGGTGTTTCTAATCTAGAGAAAATGTTAGGTTAACTGGTCCATGGGCCTGATCCTATGTGACCAATCTAAGGTCCTAGAGATGAAGGACAAAATGATAAGCCAGAATGGTAAACTACTTGAATCTTAGGTGGTGAACAGATGAGGAGGATAGGGAATTTTTTACAAAAACATGCATTGTGACCCAGCTTTCCAGACTCAGCTCAGGCCAGGGAAAGCCTGAAGGATGCAGAGGCTCAGATGGGACACCCAGGCCCAGTTAGGGCGACACTCCTTCACCAGACAAAGGAAGAGGTGCCACATTGAGAATGCCACCAGGGGTGTTAGGAGCAGACACACCCAGTCATTGCATTACCATACCCAACAGCTGAATCAGGGAGCTAATTATGACTTTCTACTTCTGGAAACCACATTCCCGAGGCTCTCATGAACACACACACACATACACGCTGTACCATGGCAGCTCTCCTCCCCTTATTCTGCTTCCTTACTTCCACCCCCACTTTCAATGCACCCCACTTTATCTCTGATGCATCCCTTGCACAGGGTGCTTCTGTTGTTTCATACTGCATCCTGATTCCACCCCTCACATACACACCCACACACTGCCCACACCCTTTGCCTAACTCAGTCATAAGAGAGCTACATGTCATGCCTTATCTTCCACCGAGAATGTCTCTGACAGAGAACCACAGTATGTCAGTGCTGGATGAGTACCCTAAAGGGTCTCACCCAAACTACCCACTTTGCGGATAAAGAAACTGAGACCTAGCCAGGAACATGGCTTATCCAAGAGTATTTAAATAGTAAGTGGTAAGGCCAAAATGAGGAACAGGCTTCCAGGATTATTATTTTTCCCCTTCCATGAAATTCCACATCTAAAAACACAAAAATGGGTGTGACAGAAATCTGAAGCCCACCTGCTCCCTTACTCTACCTTCCAAGATTCTACCTTTAAAAAAAAAAAAGTGCTGAGATGTTTGATTTATATTAATCCATTCAGCAAATGTTTCTGAGAAACTCCCACCTCTGAAGCACCATATCTGTCCCTGGAGATGTAAAGTCCAGTCCCTGATTCTAGATGGCTCATAGTCTAGGGGAAGACAGACCTGCAGTCACAGCCACCATGCAAGCCAGTATGTGTATGCTGTGCCAATGAACGGGACAAGAGACATGGAGCTTTAGAAGAAGGAACTGTAATTTTGACTGAGATGATCAAAGATGGTATAAATAAGGATTGCATTTTAAGTCTCAAATTTTGACAGGTAGAGAAAGGCCTTTCAAACTGAGAGACAAGTATATGCAAAGGTGGAAAAGAAGAGGTGATATTCTGAAAAGGCTGAATAGCCTTTGGAGTTGACACAGAGAAGTTGCAATGTTACTTGTAAGAGCTACCATGTGTATGTACTTACTACATGCCAAGGATTCTTATTTAGTCCCTGCTTCAAACCTGTAAACTAAGGATTGGTTCATTTAACAAGTAGTTATAGAATGACTATGATATCCCAGCCAAGTTCTAGGTGTTGAGGGTACATCTGTGATCAGAACAGACCAAGTCCCTCAGCTATGAACAAAAAAGAACAAATCCTAGCCCTCAGGAAGTTTACATTCCAGGAATTATTACCCCCATTTCATAAAGGGGGAAAAGACAACAAACAAACAAACAAACAAAAAACCCCTGAGATATAGGGAGATTAAGGAACTAGCTCAGGGTCACACAGATGATAATTAGCAGAGCCTATCTGTACTCTTAAATGTTGTGTTTCCTTCCAGGAAGCCTGGAATTGAGAGTTGGGGTGTTCAGAGTCAAGATCTGGAAGTAGTAAGGATCTCTTATAAGGTTTTGAGCAGCGGGGTGGCTGAAACAAAATGATGTTGCTTCTGTTTGGGCTGTCTTCCCCCACTCCACTTATAGTCAGGGATCAGCCGCTTCAATCTTCCCTCCACACATAGACACCTCTTTTGGCTGAGGATGACATTCCCTGGGTCGAGCCATGCCTGGGTTTAGAGGATTAGTCTGGGTGAACCCTCGGGACCAGAGCCTCATGCCACACCCAGCACCCCCATTTAACTGGCCTTTTGTCCTATCAAAGCTTGTAAGCTTGGTTTCCTTCCTAGCCCAACTGCTAGAAGTTGAAAGTGAGCGTGGTAGAGAAAATGATAGCGTTAAAAAGGTACTGGGTGAGATTTATAGCTATAAACTTGGAACAGGCCTCAGCTTTCACCTGAAACCTAGTCCCCGGGAGGAAGCTGGAAAAGTTTGCCTTTGAAATGTCTTGGGAGTGGGAGTGCCAGTGTTGTAGGCTCCGGTCTATAATCCCAGCTTGGTGAGGCAATGCCCATCACTAGGCTGCTGGTCCCGTCTTTGAACCTAGAAATCCAGGCTTTTCGCTGGACTTAGGGGTTGCAGAGACAGTGCTGGGGAAAGGAAACTGGTGAGTAAGAAGGGGTGATAAAGAAAGAAAGGAATCCGGGGGGGGGTGGATGGAGAAAGCGAAGGAATGGGTAAAGGACACGCGAAGGAATGTTGAACGGAGTGCGCGTTAATAAAAGGCAAAAAAGGAAGGGACAAGAACAAGACAGGAACAGCCGGAGAAAGGGAAGGACCGGCGGGTGGAGAGAAAGGCTCAGACAGGGCCGCCCGGCGGGGTCTGTTGGAAGTGAGAGCGGAGAGATGGGGGACGGCGTTCCGCGGCCGCGGAGGAGCCGAGAGGTCTAGAGCAGCCCCAGCTGTCAGTCGGGAACAAAGACCGCCGAGCGGCAAGTGAGAGGCTGAGAGCCGCGCCCCAGCCAATGAGCGGCGCCGGGGCTGGCCCCGCCCCGCAACGCCCCGCCCCGCCCCGCCCCGCCCCGCCCTCGGCTCCGGGACCCCGCGCGGAGGCCGGCGCGCCGGGAGCGGGCGGGCGGCGGACGCGCGGGGAGGCCAAAAGTTTCTCTGGCCGCCAGGTCCGGCGAGCCGGAGCCGCTAGGTGCGGCGTCGCCGCGGGACCCGCCGGGTCGGCAGCTCTGGGAAGACAGCCGGGAACACACTGCAAAACACTGAAAAAAAATTCTCAAGTCAGTCCGAGGCGCAGGGGGGCAGGTAAGGTGCGGTGGACGAGGGGTCTTCCTCGCTCCCGAGAAGTGCCTGCAGCCGCAGCACTGGCACTCGGGCTCCAGGGGACACTGCGCTCTCCGCGGCGTGCCAGTGCGTCCGTCGGTCTTTGTCTGTGTCAGGGTCTGTTTAGGTGTCTTTGTCTCCGCATGTAACTGTCAGGGTCTCCCCCTCTGCCAGGGTTGGTGTTGCTGCTCTGGTCCCAGCCTGGAGAAAGTGATGCTGCGTCTGTCCTTCTGTCTTCGTCTCCGTCTCCTGCAGACTGGTTTTATCTGCTCCAAGCCCTGAATCTGATCTTGATGGACGTTAAGTGTTGGGAGACACTGATGTCTGAGATGAGGAAAAGGGGAATGTCCGTGAGTCCGGGGGGACCCTGGTCCCAGACAGAGGGTATGACAGCTGGGGTCGGGCCCCTGCACTTTGCCGTCTGGAACTTTGGAGATGGGCTGTGTCTGTGCTCACAGGGTGGCAGGGACACTGATGCAGTTAGACGTTTGGAATGTCTCACTGAAGGAATAGGTCACAGGTGCTGAGGTGAATAGAGTTGATGAAGGTGGAAAGTGGCCTCCTGGAGTTGTGGGCCAACTAGGATCAGTCCTGGACTTGCCATTCAGCCAAATTAACACACACACAGTCCCACACCTACAGACGCACCACATTCACTTCTTTCTCTCACCCACCAGAGGCGCCAGGCCCTGACTCCCTCCACACCCCTACACACACACACACACACACACACACACACACACACACACACACACACACCCTTCAACATGCTGAACTCCAGCTTTCAAAGCATACAACTCACCATCAACAGGCATCAAAACACCATAGGCCAGGTGATCGTTGTCCTTCCTGCTCCAAGTGGAAAGGAGTGAACTGTGGAGCAAATGAATGTTCTGCTGGCCCAGGAGCAGGTCAGGCCTAGAAAAGTGTTTGGGACTTTTAGCTTCAGAGCCCTCAGTTCCCCAGGAACAAAGAATGCTTGGGGATCTGAGCATCTATATTTCCTGGGTCCCTCCTCTCCCATTCCATCCACACCCTCCTGCAACCATCAGCCCTGGTCTTGGGTCTTAGGTGCTGACAAACTAGTGTGGAGGCACTGAGTTCTGGAGAGCTCTTGGCAAGAGCTGTGCCAGATAAAGGGTCTCCTGCTCTGCTGGAAGTGCAGCCTAACTGCAATCATGGGAGCCGAGGAGTCCAGCCACAGAGAGATGAGCTGTATGCTTGGCAGTTCTTCCAGCACCAGAGACCCTTGAGAAAAGTCTGTGGGTAGGAGCTAGAGAGTGTTTGTAACCTAAGTTCAAATACAATTTTCTGTGGGCATGCTGGGGAAAATACAGGTGCTTAAGTATGTATATATATGTACACACATGAAAATGAATATGAGAGACAGCGTTTACAGGCAGGAAGGGTGTCTGTGTTCAAGGGTGGAGAAGAGCAGAGTGTGTGGGTGGAAATCTGTGGGCAGGGGCATACACACTCATCAGGTGTGGTATTTACACCTTGTATTTATCCAGGGCCTTTCTTCTGAGGTGCTTTCTGCACATCACAGACGTTATCTCATTTGTTATCTCCTTTATGCTCGCAATGTAATTACCAGGTTGGCATGAAGCATGGTTAATTCTCTGTGTTCTACCAGTGAAGAACTGAGGCACCAGAGGGGCAGGGTTTTCCCTGAGGTCCACAGCTAATGGGAGCAAAGTTAGGTTTAGCAAGTGGAAGTCCAAGGATGAGGTCTCAGCTGAGAAGATGTATGTGCGGACATTCACTCTCCATGAAGTGAGAAAAAACCCAGGTGAGAGAAAAGAGGCTGTCTCTCAAGAGTGTGTATATGTGAGCAAGAAGGAGGATGGGACATTTGAGATGATTGTTATTTAACATTTATGGCCGCCTCTGTGCACCTCACAAAGTAAAACCTGTTTTAACAATTCAGCTTGTGTATTTGTGTGTCTGCAGTGGAGCCTCCTGTCTGTCTGTCTGTGTGTGCCCCAGTAGATGTGGGTTGAAGTAGCTGCCACCGAAGGTGTGCCGCTGTACCCTGTGTGTTGGGGAGAGCCAATGCTTTGGGAGTATGTGAGGGAAAGATTTGCCGTGCTGTTTTGAGAAGCTATGTTTCTGCCTGTATGGGCAAAGAGGTAGACGGGTTCCAGCCATATAAAAATGGCTTTCTAATCCTGAAAACTTATTTATATGTCTTTGCACTTATTCAACATTCACTTAATAAACAGTCGTTGGGTGCCTACAAAATGCAAAGCTCTGGGCCAGGCAATGAGGCTACAAAGACGAGTAAGGTAATGAGGGCAAACCTGTGGTTAATCAGCTTATAGAGTGGCATAATGGGTAATATTTAACAACATGTAATACCGTTCACTAAGTACACTATGTGCCCAGTACTCGTTATTCATTATCTCATTTAATTCTCAGCACAGCCCTGCAGGGTGTGTATGATTCTTAGATGAGGAGAGTTAAATAATGTACTAGGATAAAGAATGGAAGAGCAGGGCTTTGAGCGCCACTCAGCTCAGCCCTGGCTCTTTCCCTGTTCTTCTGTTACCTTTGAAAATAGAAATACGTGTTTCCTCTCTGTCAACTCTTCTTGCCTTGTCCCTCTACCTCCACCTAAACAAGGTCACACTTGTTCTTCTGGTTTTAACCATGAGAATCGAGAAATCTTCTCCTCTCCTTTCCCTAAGTCTGGGTTACATGCCTTCTTCTGAGTTCCTACCATCATTCCACACTACCTTGGCATTGACCCACTGGTCCTGAAGAGCCTGCAAAGTTCTTAGAGGCAGTGATGGTGTTGTGAATGCCCCGTTCAGAGTATACTGTTTGGCTACTATGAGTGGGCCCTTAGTAAATGCGTGTTTAATAAAGTAATGGGAAGGGGAAGTGCTGTCGGAGACCATTGGCAGGGAGCATTTTTCCAACAGCAGATTTCTGCAGGGACACACTTTGTTGGTGTGACCTCTGGCTTTCCTGCCTCTATTACTGGGTCATCTCCTTTGGGGCCTCTGCTTAGATAGGGCTCCTCCATCTCAGTTCCTGACCAGTTTGGGAACACAAGGATAACCTAGCCACCACCCACGCTGCCAAACTAGGCACTCTAACTCGGGGTCAGTCAACCAACAAATATATACCAGTGGGAGGTGCCAGGTATGATCTAGAATTAAGGTTTTTAAAATCATGTGCTTGGAACCGCAGGAGGACAGTGGTTCCAGAACAGTGATGAGGTGTTTCTAGGGGGTGGCCAACAAAGAAGTATCCAACTGTCTGGGGAGTCTTTAGGCTATTTAAGTAGTAGGTCTTTGAGTTTGCTTTTGAATAGATCTTTATGCTGCTGCAGTCTTAAAATCGCTGATCTAAAATAGACACGCTGTTGTTGGGAGTGTGAATTGCAACTATGTTTGGGGAGGTAATCTGGCCATGATTTGCCCAAGGTCACGTGGTTACAGTCTGGTGACTCCCTTCCCATGCCCTTTACACCACCCCATTATTTCTCATATCAGGGTTGCCACATGCCTTCTCGGGGGTTTGTGATGATTTTAGCTTCCCTAAAACTGGACTTCGCTGTTTATTCAAGGTTTCATCCATGCAAGTTGCCAGGGAGGTGGGGGATTTTAAAAAAATGGTTCAATAATGGCTAGAGACTAAAATTTGTGATGAGAATTGAGAAGAGGAACCAGCACACATGAATCTTGACAAGTACATTGAAAACTGGATCATACTAACTTTGAACACAGCAGCTGCTCAGCACGAGGGAGGTGAGCTCAAAGACACCAGGGAAGAGGTGGTCATGAACGAAAAATTGAAGCTAAACTTCAGGGAGGTATAAAAAGAGTAGACATAGCAGCGGCGAGGTCATAGTTCCAAGATGCAAGCTGAGACCTGAGGAGATGGAGCTTTTTCTTCCAAGGGAAACCCAGGTGGGAACCTGTTTCCTCCTTCCATGCCGCTCAGCAAGACACCCAGACCAGACAGAGCTGGAAAATGAAGGATGGGAAGTAACTCACCTCTAACAACTGCCTCCAGCAAAATGAGTGTGCATATTGGCTCTGGATCCCCTTCTCCAAGGACTTAGAGAAGTGGGTGGAGATGTGTCAAAATCAAGCATAGTTGCATTGGGCTTTGGGCTAGCTGCCAATTGGCGGTGCTGCCTCTGTATCTGCCATCTCCATCCCGCTTCTATCACTCTCCTGCTTCTTGCCAGACATCAACTTCCACCTGACAGTCTATCACCATCTCTAGGCTTCTGGTAATAATAATTTTAATAGCCCTTTTTATTTGTTCAGGATTTACACTTTAAAAGGGGATGTTATTATTATTGGTGTTGTTGTTGTTGTTAAGTATCATCATCATCATCAACCCTGTGAGAGGATATCTTCCACAATTTGGTGTATGAGAAAACTGAATGAGCCTATCAAGGGTGAAGGAATTCACCCAAGATTTTAAGTGGAATGCTGGAATTTGAACCCAGCTGTCCTGACTCCCAGTCCAGGGCTACAATCTCCTAATTGTGAGGCCTCATTGATTAGCAAACAGAATGTGAGTGTGTGAGTGTGTATGTTAGCTAAAAGCTAAAATTAATTATTCTAATCAATCCAGTAGACTGGTGATTTTTCTTCCTAAGTGATAGGCCAAATTGGTGTCTAAACAGATGTGATGTGGGTTTTGTCTAGTACCTGGAACAAAGACAGTAAAGAGTTGCCCTATCCAGATCACCCATAGATATGCTTCCATGTCAGTTAATCACTGTGGGAGAAGATAACTGCCTTCAGGATGACTGCTAGCAGACACACACACACACACACACACACACACACACACACACACACACACACCCCAAATTCATTCATTCATCTCTTCCACTGAGACATGCTCTCTTCCTATACCCACACTCACAGTCACATCCCATAGCATGAATCCTCAGACATTCCCAGGTGGCAGGACCTGGAATATCCACACCTATGTCTGCTTGGGTTGGCCTC